TAAATGTTTTAAGAAATATCATTTTACTTCCTATTTCATAGGAGTTCTAGGATCTTTAATACAAACAGAAAACATCATGTCTGCTTTATTCTGAGAAAGCAATCTCAAAAAACAAATTTTCTTTCTTTAGTGGAGTTTCAAGAAGTTCTAAAAACGAAAAAAGTGCCTAGTATTTTGTAAGAAATCCTTTTTGCTTGATACATTCGTTTAATCGATTTTGTACGGAATAAACGAGTGGCGCAGTTGTTTTTTCTTCAATTGAATCCCATATTTTAACAATTTTTTTGTTTTAATTGTTTTAAGTTTTGAGCTGGAGCTTTTTATAATTCACGTTTGATGAAGAGCCAAATATGTTCTAACGGACTAAGATCCGAACTATGAGGAGGCCACGGTAATTTTTCAATATTCATCGAACGGAGCCAATCAACAACGATTTTTGAACGATGTTTAGGATCATTGTTATCCATTAGTACAAAGTGTTTTGATAATCCCAATTTTTTAGCTGCTGCATATAAATTTTTCTCAAGTATGTTTTTATAAATTGATCCAGTCATATTCTCCTTTAAAAACACTAATTTACCAACACCTTTCTTATCCATACATCCCCATACTACAATATTCCCACCACCTTGTTGTACAGTTGGTGCAATACAGTTTGATGGTAAATCTTCTCCTCTTCGACTCCACACGAATTGTCTTCCACTCGAATCAAATAAATCGAATTTCGCTTCATCACACCATAGTACACGATCCCAGAATTTGATTGATTTTGCTAAATATGAATAAGAATAACCAAGACGTTTTAAACGATGAAAATTTGTCACCAATGGCTTCCTTTTAGCGACCGTAGTACGATAACCTTGTTCATTGAGACGACGACGCACCAATCTGCTTGACACTGATACACCAAATTCTTCTTCAATTTCTTTTTGGATCGATCTGGATGTTTTTTTTCGATCAAGATGAATTCTATTGATAATTGCATTATCAATTTCTTTTGTTGTCTTGCGCTTTTGTCCTCTTGGTAAACCAATATTTTTGACGGTTTTCATTTTCTTAAATTTTTGTATAATGAAATGAACGGATGATTTTGGCATGAAAAGTAATTGTGCAATGTTTCCATTGATTCACCATTTTAATGATGTTTAATAACTAAATTTCTAAAGTCTTCGGAGTACTCTTTTCTTTCTTTTTGATGTGGCATACAATTTATTTTGTTCAACATGTCCAATAGGAGAAATTCAGCAAAAGGCAGAAATTTGTTGTCGTGTTAAACCTATCGAGACCAATATTGAAAACAACAATATCACAAACAAGGAGTTATGGTAAAAGCACTTACAAATTCGCAGATGATCGAAGCTGTAACTATATCTATGTAAGTGACAAAAAGAAAAATGAAGCTGAACGATGATTTAATCGTGGTGACTTACAAACAGAAAGATACAGAAACCACATGTGAGGATACACGAAAGAGAATGAACATAAACGACAAATAGATTTTATCCATAGTGAACCACAATACACGAGGACAGGATGAAAAAAAGCACTGAATTATTTTGTAAATAACAAAAAGGATAAAAACAATATTTCTAAAAACATTTG